TATTAACCACTGTCAGTGAAAGACAAAGTTTGAACAGAATACATGTATACTAGTATTCGCTTTTGACATTTTCTAGGAATTTGTGACATACAGACACGAATGTAGCATATAGGTTCAACAAAATATACCTTGGAGAGGCTTTCTAAATTTAACAGTTGTGATGTAATTTTCTTGTTTGGCTATCGCGGCCGTGAGTTCATAGGTGCCGCCGAACCATTGGTCGGTATTTGGCGTAGCAAGGTCACGTGAATAGAAATCACCAATCCGATGATGGGTTCCTTCCACCGCCATGCCGATTACCATGTCTGCGCACTCCATTCCTTTCAATGGTCGTTCTTCTTCGCGTCTCTGTTTGTAAAAAATATAAACTCATGAACGAAGGAAAACTGTAACAATCCAATGAATTAATATTTAGGTACTTTCTTCAAAATTTGAACCAATCCTGCAATATAACTAAAGACCAGATCGTAAAGTCTCAGATCGTTTTAATGTCGGCATACATCGCCTATGGAAATTGCGTTCTGACAGATCATGGTTTGGTAACCAATTAGAGTACGCCGGACGAGACAGATGCAATAAATCAATAACAGTTGTCATAGTTTCCATAAGATGAATTAAGCTTCAGACGAACACTCTACCCACTTTTCGCTTTCCCTCGGCGTCTCTGTCTTCGTACCCATCGTAACCCAAGGGAATATTCATACATTCGTGTGTCAGATCTGCAAGTAAATGCTATAGGAATAAGTTAAATTGGTATATTCAGCAGACTATCGCCGGAGTTGGTCAGTTTTAAGCACAGAGGGCTTTGGTTCGCTGTTGGGCGCAGAGGGCTTGGTTCGGTGTTAGGCACATAGGGCTTGGTTTCGAGTTGGTACGGGTTCAGTCCCCCCGGAATCCTGTCTGCTTAACTACCATGAAATACACAGTTTTAAGCATTTTACTGTCCCAGCTTCAGTTTTGTACCGAACATGTTGATCATTGTAGTTATCCACGTTGCATGAACTTTTCACGAAATATAGAAAACGTTTTGCACTTCTACACTTAAAATGTATATATCACTATGATACCCATATGCGTCTTTGTATAATATTTCTGGGGGACAAAATACGAGCATGTACATTTAACTTGTGAAAAAAATTCAAACAGACGACCAAATCGACCCCTTAAGTTCTGATGCGAGCCTGAGCGCCTTCAGTAACATGGCAGCCGTGAAACCAGGGACGCGAAATTCTCCTATTCCCCATGGGTATCTTCTCTGAATACACAATACATTTGTATTAGGGATATAAATTCAAGACACCCAAACACATATAAATATTTACTTAATAAATTCAGTAGGACCTGAAATTGACATCGATTTTCAACTTGGAAGATTTGGCACCCACTAGTACCAAGGGCGGTGGCTCCAACCAAACGCTGCACACATAAATTGGAAGGTAAACCACCAGAGTATACCATATTAGCATACGGAGCAGTTTATAATATTTGTCAGGATTTGTACCTGTTGGTTTCCATCCCAATGCAATCCAACTTTGTCCTTGTACCTTTAGAGCCACTTCAATTTCAGAAGAATCCTGCAATGTCGGACAGAGTTGATTGGTTACATTATATGTGATATGCATTTCCAGTAACTCACATGGTAGTGTGGCGATGTGTAAGTGATTGTGTAGGTGCCTATTCATTGTTTCTTTTAACTGTTCAAGTTAAAACGTTAAACAAATATCACCAAATAATAACTACAAAGCCTATATACAAATAACAATTTCCATACAAATGTGTTTGTTTTTTGAAAGTTTAAAAATAAATGAATATTCTTTACCTCAATTATTTTCCAGTATAAGTCGGCAAGTTCACTCAGTTGAAGGTGGTAGTATTCACTGTCATCGATTTCCGCAGAAAAACCAGCGGGATTTTCTAAAGTTAAAGATTAAATATTTGTTAAAATCATTTTCTCTCAGCATTCCCCAATCACGAACATACAATTTGACTGTAGGAGCTTCCGATCAATGGAAATGTATTGCTTTCTCACCTTGTGTACACTTGTCGCCATGGTATCCTGGCTCACAGAAACACTGTTTCCTAAAGATAGGCGATGATTGCACATTCCAACACCTGCCGTTGTTGCAATCGTCATCGCTATCACATTCATCTATAATAATAACAAAACAGCAACGTTATCAGTAATATCGTATCTCGACATCGAACATGTTTAAAAATATACAACGTTACAGTTTATTCTCTGAATTTTACCGTCCCCTTTATCACGAATCGCCGACAATACATTTCAAATAAAAAAATGCCAAGCAGAGCCCTTCATGATTAATTTATATTGACATCAAACCGTATGCAGGATGTCGTACCCTGGTATTGGCAATCATCCCCATAATACAATCCATCACATGTACACGTGTCTTCTGAGCATGCGCCATGACCCGAGCAATCACACTGAGCATTGTCTGCAAAACGAAAAAAGACAAAACAATAATATAATAATATTCTTCCACCATCTTAGTTTTACACAAGACAACTATGATTTGAGCATGATTTGAGATGGAATGACCAAATTGATCCTAATCAATGGTATCAGCATATTAATATAATTAATATAAATAATTAATACGAAGTTAAATAATGAAATGTATCAAAATGGTATATGGAGGTCAATCCATATTAAAAGTTATAACCCAGTGTTTTTAACCGTTTATTCTTTATATGACTAGCAGATATTAGAATTTTTGGAGCTTCGTGCTGTATTTATTTTTCATAGGCAAATCCCTTTTTTATTGTTAGGTCGTCCACGATAAATACCGGCTACCTTCAAGGCAATACACGCGTATGTCACCATTATATTGTATTTCCGTGTCATAACAGCTTGACTAATATATGAGATGATCTATCCCTTGGCCCCATGGTCAAATTTAATTTATCACGTAATAAACCTCCCGCGTCATTCAGGCAAGCTAAAACACAACTATTCGAAAAAATGTGTCTACAGAACCATTCCTGGATGTTTAACATATACTTCTTGCGATTCATCTGAGCTTGCATTTTTCTTATCTGCACACACAACTCGTAGTCGTTAAGTCGGCAGAGTGGAAATTTCGACCAGTTACGATCTGTGGCATTTCCGATTACAAACTGTCAAGAACGACAGAGTTACGCACGCAGAACGATGTATTTTGCATGTCCATACCTTGGATTGATATGTCAGCACACGTCCAGAAGTTTTTACCAATGCCATTTTTGTACTCTAAAGCTTGTCTAATTATACGTATGGTGCATTTGTCACAAGTAACGTCATCTGGGAGAGTGACCTCATAGTATTCCCGACTGTGCCATTACAGTGAACCGAGGAAAAAAAAACAAAAGAAATCCTAGGTTAAAAACAAAGAATCTTCATGTACTGCACACAGTTGGCGCTATATTATAATATACCCACGACCAAATAGGTTTCCGTACAAACGTCGAATGCGGACAAAGTTCCATCAATAATGAATACGGACTAGTCTTAACAATGTTGAGTGGTATTAATGTTAAGCTCTTTATCCAGACGTCGGATACAAAGCATAAATTGAAAAGTTTGTCTCTTGGCAAATTGCCAAAATTGCCAAGTCCATGGAACAACGTAAGCACAGTAGAACTGTAGTGATATGGTGTCGAGATTTGATTTCCGTCACTCTATCGTGACCACGACAAAAGTGTTGCATGTCACATAAATGACCTGATTGAATAATATACCCGTATGGGTTCACTGATAAATTAAATAACATAGTTAAACTCTGGTGACCTTGCACTTTGTTATGTAATATTATTTCCTTTATCATAGTTTGTTTCAATGTGAATATGCATTGTCATAATTAATTTTGAATACAGACAGGTTTTCGAACTGAAACAGGGATAATACTTGTATGTGATATATATATATATGACTATGAACTGACTAAGGGCTCAGTTGAACACTGTTAGTAAGTATTCTGAAAATACACAGAAAAAAAAAACGCTGCAAAGATTTCTAATGTCTTTGGTTTAACGATGTAGATTCTCAACAGTACTGTTTATTTCTCTCTCAACTGGACACCAACTTCATGGTACATACTTCAAAGCTGAAGTTGATTTGCATACAAAGCAGAACTTGCAACATGATAGTTATCCCTAGTGGGCGCTTTTTACTTTTCAAATAATACAGTCATCACACAATTTATATAATGAAGCAGATCCTATTTGTCTCAATAAATCATTAATTTTTGACAGAGATACTTGTACAAAATACTTGTTTTACAATTCCGTTCACGTCTAAATGCAGCACTTTTTTCTGAGGTGAAGCATTTGTTTTTATACTAAAATATTTGAATTACTTTGAATAATATTAATACAGAAGTACAACTGATGTTCAATTATTACTGATTTGATTTAACCAAAACACATTTAAACAACAAAAGAGCATACTGAATTATGGGTAAAACTATTGCTTA